ATCGATAGGTTCGAAAAGCACCGCGGGCTGTTTCAGGCTGAGTAAAAATACCCTTCAGGGTTCGCCTGACTCAACCAACGAGGGCTGTCTGAAAAGGCTCCGAGTCCTGGCCGAAAATTATACGTAGGAATCCACGCGATTGAAAATATATACACAGCTGTAAGTATATAGTAACGCAATAATCCGTGCGATTTTTCATCATATGTAACAAAAAATGAAGAAGATAATATCAGCTTGTCGTCAGGACCGAAAGATATATAAAACTGCTCCACGTCTTTATTCCAGAGCAAAGGAATCTCAAATATGATCGCATGTCCGCTTTTTGAACCCGCTTCATATCCATTGTTTTCTTTGCATTTTCGTCAGAGTGTTTGGCCAAGTGTTGAACAAAAGATCTTTTGACATTGCGTGATTTCGAGTGACACCCGCTCACATTTCTCCTCATATTGTGTACTGTATATACCCGTGGGGTTTCGGGGAGTCGACAGCCAATGTTGCTGGCACGACACCATTTTTACATCCCCACGAGTCCCTATATATGTGTAGCAGAAAGTGTCGTCGCCCAATTTTCAGTCAAGCATGGAAGTGAAAAAGCAAGAAAAAATGAAATAAAATCGGGAAAAAATACATCGAGGATGTCCGATCTATCCTTGTCTGTCCCTATATATGTGTAGCAGAAAGTGTCGTCGCCCAATTTTCAGTCAAGCATGGAAGTGAAAAAGCAAGAAAAAATGAAATAAAATCGGGAAAAAATACATCAAGGATGTCCGATCTATCCTTGTCTGCATTGGGAATGCCGTGCATCAGAAAAATATTCAGTACTTCCTTCCGGTCAATATTTCAATTCCTGATGCCTTGTTACATTGGATATCTGATTTTCTTGCGAGTGAGTTACTTGCATCTGTAGTGTCTCAATTCTATGTTTCCTGGCTTGAGAACGTTAACAAAATAACGTGTTATCATGATGTATGAGAGGGTGATGAATTATTCGTAAGATAATAGAATAGTATACAGGAAGATGTCGAAAAATCTGAAGGTTTATGTTCGAAAAAAAATAAAAAAAATCGAACAGTACGAAGTATACGCATTTGACCCAAAGAACAACCTGCATTTCCAGCTAAGAAGCATTTGGAGTGCGCATGAAATTTGAATTGTACCCCTACATGTTGAAGAATGTTCGCCATTTAAACTTCAAATCGGAGATTTCAAAAAAATCAAGATTTTAATTTTTGTCAGCTTTGTTGTCATGTTGTGACATAATATTTCAATATTTTCAAATGAGTCCCTGATGCATAATTTTTGATTTTTCAATTTTGACCATCAGGAAGCTCTTCGCGAGTTATTTCCTGCGATTTTTATTTCATTTTCAAAACTGTAAATCAAGTCATAATTGACAAATAGCAGCAGCTGGTCTGCGGTCAATTTGAATGCGCCGCCATGATAAGACTTTATTCCGATTTATGAACAGTTTCTGAGAAATTTGGAAATAATTGGAAATTGTCGATTTTGACCATACAAATATGATTTGCAGGTTGCACAGAAACCGCATACCGGTTTAAAATTCTTCTTTTATCGCGGTGTTGGTTCAGAAAACCGTGTTTGACATCGTTCGAAATAGTATTTGTACAATATTCTATCATACCTGCGTCGAATAACAAAAAATCCGAAGCGTTTGATGAGGAAGCTGCAACAAAAATTGTAATCGAAAATTTTAATTTTTCATGGGTGGAAGGACATGGTTATACAATTGTTTGCGAACTAATTAAAAAAAAACATAACGAAAAAAAAAACCGCGTGGATCTTCAAGAAATCCGCCATTACTTAGCTACTTATTGAACTAAAATCGCCGAATAAAATACTTTCCCAACATTTTCCCGCCTCGTTTATTTCAATGTATGAAACTAACAAAAATGTTGGGAAAATCTCTCCACTTTTTTTCCAACTCATTCAACTTTTCTTTTGATGGGATAACAAAGACCACGGTTAATTAAAGCAAATCGGTGAAGATGCAAAAGAAGCTTCATTTCGGCTGTTTTATTTTATTTTTCTGTATTGCTTCGATCGCAATCAACAAGAAGATCTGTAATTGACAGTACATCCTGAGAAAATACGCTAGTTATTCGGGAAACCGATGGGCCAAAAGTCAGAATGACGCATTGCCATTCGGATGATGACAGGAATAACGAACATGATGATTAAATAAATAATGCCTTGCGGTTCTGCCAATCATATCCCCACCGCAGGTTATGGGATGTATACCCTTCGGCTTTCCCGTTATAACCTCAACACTTTCTAAATTTAGCTGAACTAAACTTGGAAATTGTCAGTCATTTTGCAGATTAGCTAACCCTGACATGAAATTGTAGATTCCGAATAGTGTAATGATCAATGGTTTTTCAATGAGGTTCAACAGATTATTCATAACTGGCTTGCATTTAAATACATTGCTGGTAGAGGGTTGCTCTATTTTTAAAACAATATGTAATATTCGATCCCGACGCGGCAAAACTATTTGAAATCAAATATACAACCAAAATGTATGAATACCCAGAATTCCCCATTCCCTGCCAATCAGTTCATTTGAATTATTCCTGTCATGAAATTCCAATGAGCCTCTTGCCAAAACCAACAATTCCCTTATTTGTACCGATGCTTTGTGATATTTATTAATTGATTCATGTGCAAAAATGTGTACAGTACTTGTATATATAGGATGTGTTTTGTACTCATGTATTGTGATGCTTTATTTGTATTGTGCTTGGTTTTGTGGCGACTGTGATTTGTGTTGATTCTTAATAAATCATCAGACAAAAACTAGCGATATGTAATTAAGGTGCCCCCTCAACTACATTTTCCTGACTGCAAACTGGCTGATTATCCTGTGTGATTATTTATCTCTATTTTCCACTGTGCTGCAATGCTCTCTTTTGTTGGAACTCTTGTGACCTCCACAAGTGTGAAGATCACATTTCCACCTCTGAAATTTTCTATTCCATTTTTCTGTATATATACAGTCATAGGAAACACCCTGATTACTTATGATCACAATTCTGATAATACTGTATTCGCATTGCAGGGATATTTACCTTTTGATTGTATTAAAAATCTGCAATGCGGATCGTACTGACAGAATGAAGGAAAAAAGCATCACGCAGTTGGAATTTTCCCCCACCAAAAATGTTCTATATGGTAATAAAAAAAATTAGAAGATTTTTTTTAAGTTCCCACAATAAGTTCTGATTTACATTGTGGGAAAGCTGCTCATGCTCAAATTTTATTCTGAGTGCATTTCCCATTAGGAGTTCTCAATTCGTGAAATGAAGTTAGAAATTTAGATTGTCCCACAATGCCGTAATAGGTTATATATAATAGAATATAATATATTTCCTTCTGAGCAGAATCTTGAATATAATTTTTATTGGCATGCTGCTAGTCTCTGAAATAGTACCTGCTGATGGAAGTTTTTTGAAAAATTTCGTTCATCGTTTCATCTGATGGACGTAAAACACGTTCATGTAGAGATCATACGAGGCATCAAAAGCTCCGCAGTTTGATTCAAACATTTTCTTTTGCAGACAAAAACGAAAATGACAAACCCACACCGCCAGCATCAGTGAAAGATGTGCTGGAAGCAATGTTAGCGACGAATAGAACCATCATGGGGTGCACAGGAACCTCGGTAAAATTTCCTGCTGCAATCGCCGCAGCCCATTAGAAAAAAAAACCGATTTATTTAATTTCGTTTTCGTGACGAGTGCGAATTTTCGCGGGAGGACACATCATCATCATCAGCAGCAGGGAGGCATCATCCCTATCGAGCAGTACTTTCAAAAAGTACCACAATTTTAGCGATGCGAGCAAAACCCGTGGCACTGATCTCGAAGCCGCCTCGGCGATGAGAAAGAGCTATGTGTTCGTAGACGGGAAAGGGTCCCCGATCGTTCGACTATCGCGGACGCCATCTCCGCCGCCCTCGCCACCACCGCCGCCGCCGCCACTTGCCGCACTACCCTCCTCCTCGTCGTCGACCTCTGCACCACCACCACCACAGCCGCCACAGGACCACCACCACCGCCGCCGCCCACTGGCCGCCTTTCTCGCCATGCATCCCACACTCATGATGATCCTGGCCACAGCCCTGCTGACACTGGCTGCCACGTCACTGCTGTGTGTGAGTCTCCTGTCGGACCGCTGGGAACTCGTCACTTTCGACGCACACGGGATCGAGGCTATCCTGAGTGCCAGGAACTGGACAGACAGGGTTCGATGGTTGTTCGGGGATGTGCGAGTGGGTGTTTTTCTCGCTGCGACGACGGCAGTGTCTGCGTCTGCGACGACGAGACCCGCGACGAATGGCAGTGGAGTCGTCAGCAGCAACCATGCTGGCACGTCGGCAAGGACCAGCATCATGAGCACTGGCACCACCACGAGTGCCACCGGCAAGACGACCATTATAGGTAATGCCCTGAGGGGCACCGATGACAGCTCTACTGCGATCACCGAGGAGCCCTTCAGTGACAGCTTCTTTGTCCCTATGCACGGCGGGGTTTGGAAAATGTGCCCAGATGTCGCAGGTGTGGTAATATTTATGTAATCCAATGTGTCATAATTTTTAGAGCAAATCAATAATGATTAAAGGAATGTACAGTGAAACCCCCACATGTGGACACAACTCATGCATCAAAAGTGTCCCTAATAAGTTGAATTGCCCCTAAGTCAAGTCTTGTTTTCCCATAGAATTACATTGAATCCTTTTTAATTGGTGTTTTATGGAAGAAATATTCTTCAGAATTCCATGAAAAAAATTGTTAGCCGCTTAAATTTGATTCATTGAATATATTTTCAGCTCAGTAAGAACATTTGGAGCATTGAATAGTGTATCTCTGTACTGTATATTTGAAATATTGGCAGCATCTGCAAAAATAACATTCAAGTCACTAAGAGAGATGGAAGTCCCTCTATGCAATCGGTAATATTTTTTCAATTAGCTGGATGGATGGGAAAATGATGGGAGAATTGACAAAGATTTTTTCTTGCATTAATCTGAGGGTCAAAAATATTTTTTTCTTGCAATCAAGCCAAATAAAAGTCAATTTTTGTGAAATTTATTGGAAAATTAATTCAAAAATATCTTTTTCTTGCAATCAAGCCAAATAAAAGTCAATTTTTGTGAAATTCATTGGAAAATTAATTCTGCTATGTCCTTATGTTGAGTCAGTGTCCATATTTTGGGCCTTTTTCATGCCCTTTGTATTGAAAAAAAAAAAGTCCTTACGTTGAATTGTCCTCACATTGAGGTGTATGCATGCGGGGGTCTCAGTGTACTGTACAGTGATACTGCATACTAAATTATTAGTGCTGTATCTATGTGTCATGACTTTTTGATAAGCAGTGCTGGATGGCGTGATTTGTATCTTTTCACTTCTCAGAAAAAGAGTTGGAAGTGGTTGTTGAACTTGGATTCGGCCTAAATGACTGCATCCACCATTTGGACCAAGACGTGGTGAAAAGATTAACCCACCCTCGTGATGACTGGGTGCAAAGTAGGCATACGACTTCATGAAATCATCATACATTGGCAAAATTATTGGCTGATTTCTTCCTTTGTGATTCCAGGAATGCAAAACCTTTCCATTTCCTGTGCCATGGTTTGTCTCATTCTGCTTGGAGCGTCTGCTGTAGTTGGCTTTGCTGGAGTTTGTCGACAGGAAATTCCTGCTGTTCTGGTGACTGGTGTGCTTTATTTGTTGACTGGTGAGTT